ACACACACACACACACACACACACACACACAGTCAATGCCACTCTCTCCCACTTTTTCCTTCTAGGGGTATCGTGCTTTAGCCAAGGAATCCATCATCCACCTCTTCCTCTCTCTCTCTCTCTCATCATCATCATCACTCTCTCCCAATCCCTTAATCTCACCATAAGCACCCCCGCTGCTCAATTCTGTACAGATTACCCCAAAACAAACACGCATTGAGAATTAATGCCTATAGCGTCTTCATTAACCTCGTACATGATTAAATCTAGCCCTCGTCCCCTCACACACTCCTTCGTTCCTCTTTAGCTCTTTTTATCTTCTTTCTTTCTTTCCCATTTCCAGCTCCCCCCCCGACTTTCCTCTCAGCTCATTTCACTTTTCATTTGGAGAGCAGATAAAACTAGGCTTTTATCCAGGCAGGGATGCCATAAACCAATTCAAACAGAGACTGGAGATGGGTTATCACTCGTGTTGCCACATGCTTGTTGAAACACGGCTCTTAAAATTGATTTGATTATTTCTCATAACATGAGAGTGAACCATGTCCAGAGATGAAAACAGGGAAGTCGTTGATATTGTAATTGATGTTTTCAGGTTTTTCTTTCTCAACAAATTAGTAATTCTTATTTATTTATCATGTCCTGATATTATTTTTGACTCTGTGCATGGGTTTCTTCAACAGAGAGAAAGTGATATAAATAAAGGAACAAAGGGAGGAAAAGGAAAAGGAAGAGATTACCTAAAAAGACAAAGAGAACAGAGCCGATCAGCGGCCGACTTAAGCCACATCTCTAATACCTCTGTCTGTCCATCCATTTGTCTCCAAGTCCTGATATGTCCCCATAACACAACAACACATGATACATTACTAATTGAAAGAAGATTGATGTTTTTGAGCAAAGTCAGCCGCTTCCCAGAAATCCAAAATTAATCTGTACATCTAAGCATGTGTGCATGTGTGTGTGTCCTGGGGCTTAGTGAGAACCACTGTTCATATCCAGCAGGGCTGAGTGTGTTAGCACACAATCAGTTTATAATCCTCATGTCGAGTGAGGAGACATAATTTTTTTTAGCCTGAGGTGACCTGGTGCCTCAGACTGAGGGGACGGGGGAACCAGCAGAGCATTAACCACACGTAACCACATGTTGCATTTGTTTCTGAAGAACATTTCACAATCTGCTTTTATATCCACAATTCAGATTTGTGATGATCTGAACTAGATAAAGACACTAAAGAGAGATTGGTGACACTGCCGTGAGGAAGAAGTGACGTTTTTCTCAAAGTTCGGTGAAGCTCGACTCGTAATGTTTTCTTTTTCTATTTTGCAAGGATTTACATGTTGCAAAATGAGATGTTAAGGCACATACATGTCCCTGACCACCATGGCATCCTCCATAGACCCGTCAGCCAACAGTGCACGGATCAGGTGGTCGTAAGTAGAGGCGGTTAATGTCGAACCCTGTTGATCGGCTTTTTTTATCATCCAGAAGGCCTCTGCGGAAAGAGAGAAGGGGGGGAAGGGTTAAAAAAGACAGAATACGATGAAGAAAAGCAGAAAATCAAATAATCTTATTATTTTTGGGTGAACAGAGTTATCTGCCTTTACAAAACAACTATAGTGGTGAAACATTAATATCCTACAGTTTTAGTGTCCGACATTTTTTGTAACTTTCCAAAATCAACAATCCAACAAAAGTTGAGTAGAGGTCAGAGGGTTTGCAAACCAAACCAGTGAAATCCTGTAGAACCCCTTTATGGACAGATACCCTTTATATAGATTATGAACAGTATATCAGGTGATCCACTATTGCAGCTTCTGATTTAATTCACACACCTCAGATGGTTTGTTTTAAACCAGCTTCTGATGCTTTTAAATCAGCTCCATGTCGTGTGGGACATTGACACCGAGGCCTCCTGCTGCTTACCTTTGGCTTTGCCCTTCTTGCAGAGGGCCAACAGACGGGTATGGTATTCAGAAGCACTTGCGGCTGTGGTGGGGGGCAGTGCCGGCTCGTCCTGCTGTGCTGTCTCAGCTCCTTCGTGCCAGGCCTATAAATGACACATACAGAGAAGACAGTGATAAAACATTGTGCGATGTTTCAGTCAAAACACAGCTACATCTTCCATTCAAGCCTGTGTACACACAATGAGCTGGTGTGTGTGTGTGTGTGTGACAGTGCAATAATGCAGGGCAGGCAGGGCAGTGTCCCCTAATGCTCAGTCACCCGTGTACCGATGAGTGGAGGGGGGTTAAGCTGTATCGGCTGGGGGCAAATTAGGTCTGGCACCCCAGGGGCAAAAGGAAAGTGTATGTGTGTTAAGAGAGTCTGTGTGTCAGAGCGGGGGTGTCAACTCAAGAGCCCCTGGGGGTCACAAAGTTCATCGCTCCAGGCAACAGCAATCACTTCCTGTCTCATCACGCTTCGGGCCATTGCAGCACACTCGCATGCACAAACTAAAACTGAGGAAAAATGTAAAGAGGAAGAATCGAGCAACAGAACAAAGAAACAGATTGTTGCAACAGCTAAAAAAAAACAACCTCTTCCATCTTTATTTGATCAATAATTCAAACTGTTCAGATTCTATCCACCTGACGTCAGGTACGACCCACATACACACACTGTATGTAACTAAGCATCCAGCTGCAGCCATATGGTGGCATTTAGCTGCTGGTTAAATTAGTCTGGCATTACAGATTTACAGACAGATCAGGCTGTAATTCCTTTCACCAGGCAGCCGCTCTGATTGACCACACTTCAGATCAGAGCTCCAATCCTGTTTCCTCTGTATGTAATGAACAGAGGCTTAGTGGAGCAGGGTGGGGGGGATGTGTATGAAGAGAGTAGCTGATAAGAGTTTCCAGAGGGGTTTTTTGGGGTGGGGGGTTAGTTCTTGTGATCAACGTCTGGGGGTCAATCTGAGGTAAATTTCTGGGATTTAATGAATGACTCTATCAAAGCTGTTGTATCTGTTCCGTTTATTTATAAAGGACACCTCCGATATCACCGTGGAGAACGGAGAAGAAAACTAAATAGTGAGAAATGTTCCCAGAGATCAATTATGAGATCTACAAATTACTTTTTGTGCAATGAAAGCTCAATAACTAAAATATATTTGATTTACGAGGATATGAAGACAAAAAAATTATAATGTTGTGTGTAGTGTTCTTGTCGCTATAAACACAGAAATGTTTTCATTACCTCTCAGTTTTATTCAAGATCTAACGACATTAATGTATGCACAGGTTCCACTGCAATGTGTGTTTAACCATCAGTGCTGCATGGCTGCATGTTATCTTTGACCTCAGGCACTTCCAGAGGCCTCCAGAGTTCTTGGGAATCTCCTGGTCGTCACTTTCAGTCACCTCCTGGCAATTATTCCTCTGAATAACAGATCTGTCAAATGAGCGTCAGTGTGATGTACATATTATAAAGCTGGGGTTTTACCTCAGGCATCTTAAAGGGCACCTCCTGGCCATTATTCTTCAAGATGTCCGCAATCATGCGCAGCGTCGTCTCCCGGGGAATGACGTTCTCCTCCTGCATTTTCGTCCACATGGCCTCGGCCTTCTGCCAGTTGTTTGTCACCTCTGAAAACAAAGCAGTGAAAGTGAGAAAAAGGTGATTTCTGATTTAATTTCTTATGAAAGTCATGACACTTGTGGTTGTATAGTCAGTGGTGGTCGTAGCTCAAACTGCACAAGTCCTCCATGTTGCGAAAGGTCAATCAAAGCAGTAATCTGATCATCTGACTGACCCTCAACTATGCTGTTATTTAGGTAACACACCAACTAGTGGGGTGTGTGTGTGTGTGTGTGTTTGTGTGTTTGTGTGTGTGTGTGTGTGTGTGTGTGTGTGTGTGTGTGTGTGTAATGGGCTGACAATCAGCTTCAACACTCCAATCACTACTGTTATCTGCTCTGCTCTCTACTGCAGCAATCACACCATGTCTTCTGCACAAACACACAATCTTGTACTTGTATCTTAGTGAGGACACTCATAGGCATTCACTAGCCTCTTACAATAACCTTAACCATCACAACTAAATGCCCAACCCTAATCCTTACGCTAATACTAAACGTAACCCTAAGACTATGTCTTGAGCCTCAAACAGTCCAGCCAAAGATAATCAGAAAGTGAGGACCAGCCAAAACTTTTTCATTTCATACATTTTAGGCTCAAAACACAAACATACACAGACACACTCACCATGGACGGGGGAGATCAAGACAGCACATGGAGGTTGCAGGTGGAAAACACATCCACACACAAGATAAATAGAAAGAAACTTACTACAGAGGCGGAGGACGTAACTGTACATCTCGTCTCTGTCACACTCAAACAGCTTGGCTGTCATGTCTACCATCTGCTCCAAGGTCTCCATCTATACACACAAACACAACAACGTAGATTAAGTTCAAATTCATGTTCTTTCTCTTTTCTTTTCATTTGCTTCTTTGTGACTTGGTGTATATGTGTGTGTGTGTGTGTGTGTGTGTGTGTGTGTGTGTGTGTGTGTGTGTGTGTGTGTGTGTGTGTGTGTGTGTTACCTGGTTGACAAAGATGCATTTCTCTGCAAACCACTGCAGACGTCCAGGCCTTGCCCTCAGACCAGGGGTCTAGAAACATTTAAACAGATCAGGTTGTTAAATATTAATGAAACTCTATAATGAGACCTAGCATAAGATGAAATAAAGGTTAAATATACACATAAAAAAAAAGAATGATCTATAATGTAAATGCCTATTGATCCATACGACTCCATGCAACCTAAACAGCATTTTAAATATTGCTATTACTTGATGTGCACCAATTACAGCCCCAGGTCAATACAAATGCATATTTCACCAGTTTAAACAGCAGAGGAACAGGTCAGCACTCAGAATTGCAGTTTTATGTCGGTGCAGTGGTTTTATATATACATCACACTGATGCAGAGTCAGATTATATATAAGCCTAAATTGTTGTGAAGTTAATATTTGAGTGGCCTTATATATATATATACACATATAAATGAAAAACACACAACACAGATAACACAACTGGAAAAAGGGCTTAACACAAAAGCGGGTAGAATCAGCAAATGCTTCACTTTTGCTTTTTCAAAACAGCTGTCTATACATAAATCCTTCTTAAACTATAATGCACAGGCCTTAGTTTCACCAAATCGATTCTTTGTGGACACATCTTTAGAAGTTATGATCCATCATGGAAAACCCAATTTAGAGTGGGGAGAAAAAAGACCCTGAATTCTGAGCTGATGAGTTCATGACGGACGAGAGAAAACACTTCTCTTAACTTGAGATGCATGTTTTCAGGTTCAAATTTCAAAACAGAACAATAACACTTTAGGATTAAAATGCACAGACAGAACAGCTGCAAATCATCTTCCATTTTTTCGGAAACTTGTCGTTCTTTCAGGGCACCAATGATATGCAGATAAACCGAGTGTCTGAGCTGTCAAATAAGGGCTGACATAGATTGATCTGCAGGCTCATGTAGCAGAGGTTTACCCTGATATGTGAAGTGACTAGATGATTATTATCATGGAATAACCATGATCAGGATTTCATCTCTCCTCTTGGGCTTTGATACAATCTGAATAAGACTAGGACTGAGAAATCTCACCCGCCCTCTCCTGGTAATCTGGCCGAGGGGGGTAAAAAAAAAAAAAGAGAGAGAGACAGAATGATCTGGAAGTTAATCTGAATGAGGATCAACGGCGCTCAATTCCCGCTGGCCTCTTTGATGGGAGCCCATCATACCGTGAGGGGGGGGGGGGGGGGGGGGGGGGGGGGGGGGGGGCATCAAGAAACGATGGGCTTCATCCCTTCCACTGCCCGTCCCTCACGGCTGTCATCCTTTCCTCTCTCAATCCCCACTTCTCTCAATCCCTGCCTCCTCCTCCAAATCTCCCATGCTCCCGCTCTGTCTTTTCCCCTGCCTCCCCATCCCTCCATCCGGCCCAGGCGAAGGCATTATGTTCTTACCCAACCAGCCAAAGGGACAAATTAAAATGTGTTGCACTCACTCTCTCTCGGTCTGTCTAATCTTCTTAGAGACTAAGGCCCAGTACAAGTGCTCCATCTTTTTGCCTCCGAGTCCTTTCACTTGGTAAAGTCTTGCAGGCACAAAGCAGCCTTCGTACATCTACTTGCAAACACCGCCACATACATACATACATGTGTTAGGGATTTTAAATCCATCAGGACAAATCAACCTAATCTGGGCAGAAACCAATCAGAAGGCACATAATTTACACAAGGACGTGGATTAAAAGAATACAAAGAACGGCACAACACTTGTATGACCTTTGAATGCTAAAACTTTACAGGTACATGTACGTAAAAACATAAAATGGATAGAGGCGACCTTGTCTCACCTCCACTTAACAAACCCCTCTCCATCTCAATTCCTAATGTTCTAATTCTACTAATCACCTGGCCACTTACACACACACACACACACACACACATACACATACACACCCCTCTCTCTGACACAAAAACACATAATGGCTCACCACTCTTTAGCAATACTACCTAACCTTGACCATCGCACACACGCAGCACAATAATAGGCCTGACCACCTGACAATCCTCTACCTAACCACGACCATTTAGCACAAAATTGGCCACCTTTCTCTATCATTACATTTAATTAGCTGTGATTAATCAGCTGCCAATTATACCAAACACAGCCTAAAGAGAGACACCACTCTGGACGGCCACTTGACGCTCTCACAGGGGGGAAAGAAGCGTTTGTGTATATGAGCGAGTGTGTTTGCATATCTGAGAGACGGATATGATTCTATTGTAGTTATATCATCTGAGCACTGTGTGTCCATCGTCACGCAAGTTTAATAAGAGACAGTTCACTTTTTTAAGTGAGTATCAACAGTTGTTGCTTTTTCCTTTTTAAACTTAAAAAGAGTTTCTCGTCTTTCTGGGTTCAAGGCTGCATTTACCATTAATCCACTTTACTTCCTACATTTCTATTTATCTACTTATCTAACTGTGGTGGCCCCGCATATTCTAATTTGTCCGGCCACAGTTTCGTATTGAGCCAAATTTTCTTAACACTAACACATTTTGCTCCGTTACTGCATTGTAATGGCTGTATGCAGCACTATTTTAGTGGTGGCTTTTGCCCATTTCTCTGGACTAAAATTGAATGGGTTCCTTCTTGACCCAAACCACATCCTTCCAGACGGTTTGTGGTGATCCATCCAGTAGTTTTTGTGTAATCCTGCCAATTAACAGACAAATTTAACCTCCTTGGCAGAGTTAATAATTCCCATCCATACTGACACCTGAAGATGCATATGATGTGACCGTTCACGTACATGTGGGAACCAGTGGAAACAGGAAGCAGGTTGTCTACTCTGCAGCAGGTTGCTTAGTTACAGAAAATACTACAAAGGATAAACAATAATGGTGAACAAAAAGAGTAGTAGTAGCAACGGTGAAGCATTTTAACATTAAGACATGGTGTGGCTGCAGCACAGCCAGTTGTGGAAGTGAATGTCCGGGGGGCGTACAACAGCTGTTTTATGTAAATCTAAACATTAGCCGTCTGTTGTGGAAACAAGTGAAAATGCTTTGTCCACATTAAGACATTTAAAGATCTGCTGGTTTAATCTCACTGTATCCAAGTCAAAACCTTCAAACACACCAGATGGAGTGATGCAGTTGAGCTTTTTTCACTTTCACCTACATATTCCAGCAGTCCATTTATCAGGAATCCCCAATCTCACACAGCACTAGCATTTAGCTGACTCTTTGTTATAAGTAGGATAACAGCTGTACAATCCAACAGGAGCAGAATGAGAATCACAATAACAACATGTCAGTAATATTTAAGAGGGTTTGAAAATCCTCAAGTGGGAACAAATCCCTCTTTTAATGCCCAACCGTACAAGAGAGAGAGAGAGAGAGAGTCAGAGTGAAGGCATTTTTTTTCTTCCGTTTTGTTCTCATCCTGATCAGAAAACATAATGACCTTGTTTCCCTTCCTATGATGTCAGACTCATCCCTCTATTCATTTAATCATCAATCTCTCTGTCCTGCTATCCAGTCCCCGACCGCCTATCCGTTTTATCCACGTGAAAATCGCTTCTTATCTGCCTGCTTTGCCTTTCTATTTTTCTCACACTAATCTACAGGGTTTTATCGCAGGACTTAAGATGACAAATATATACATATTCATAAAATATCCAGGTCAGATGAGCTACGATGACAAAAAGACTGCACGGCCTCTGTGGCTCATGACAGTCGGGCAGAGCCATTTACTTTAACTGTTTCACAGTTAGTGACGTGTAGGCACTGGTAGAATACATGAAAGCTCTTATGATTCTTCTCCTATTATTATCATCTAAACTTATTTTCATGTTTTAAATGGGTTATTATTGGAAACATCAGATGTTTGATTTGATTTTAAGAGGGACCTGTTCCATCTGATAAATGAAAATCAGACACATGGATTAATAAAAGAGCTCCTTAATTTAATTAATATAAAACCAATATTGTGTGTGTGCGTTTACCTCAATGATCTTACGAGCCTCCCGGAAGCGGCCTGTCTGCAGGAATGCAAAGAACAGATCGTACAGCATATTCATCTCCCCTCGCTCCTGACTCACGAAGTCCATGGCTGAGGAGAAAGAGACAGAGGTCGTGAATAAAAAATAACTGCAAGGTGAACAAACACACCGCACACTTCATCCTTCCTTCTGATCCCATTATTTGGCACAATGTCCCAGGCACAGGGAAGCCGTATCATGTCAAACACACACACGCACATGCCAACAAACTCAAATCCCGAATGAAAGTCTAAGCTCCACTGGTAAACTTGCTAAAGCGCTGTGCTCAGCATTTTGAATTATCTCTGTGCAGCAGCTTCAGCACAGGTATGACACACACAGACACACAAACACACAAACACACGCTGCAAACTTTCAGTTGGAAGTGGCACAATCACTGATGCAGAGGAGGAAAGAATAATCCCTCTACCTTCAACAGAAAGTCAACAGAAAGAAAACTGTAGTGACATTTGTGTTTGTGGGTCAAGATCAAACAGACTAAAGTTAGATGTATTACTTTTGTGCACGTCCTAGTTTGAAGCTTGAGCCACATCAGCTCATTAACACCACCGATTAATATTATTTACCTCTTTCTCACGTTCCAGGTTTTAAGTGTGTTTGGTAACCTTTTCAAAATTATCCACTGTTTCTGCTGTTGCCAAACACCTCACAAAAACCCTACATTTTATTATTTGTTGATGCTTGAACTCAAATCAAGGTCGAACGCATGAGTCGAGAGCTTTTGGCGAGCCGCCTCGTGCTTTTAGTGTTTCAGACCACTGAAGGTCAGTCTGTTGGAAGGCTGCAGGTTTTACGCTTTTAATTCAGATGGTGTGTTTCCAGGTGAGTTTTCATACTATCCGAGCACTGCAACAGCATGGGGTCCACAGGAGAGAGCCGCGGTGTAGCAGGCTGCAGACTTCGACGTGTTGAATGCTGTCAGATCGAGGGTGACTTAAGGTTTGTGTAGTAAGGCACCTGTCTGTACATGAGGGAGTGGGGATTATTTGTTTTATTCAGCCCTTTGACAGACAATCGTTGCAGAAGTCATGTTGTTTTGAAGGTGCAGCGACTGTGGGTCTGTCACCTCTTATTGGGCGGGGGTGGGATGGGGGGGTGGGGGGTGGAGAGGCGCTCCACTTTACGGTTGGAACTTTAACACACTCGAGAGCCACTTGCCCCAGTGGCACCCTGAACTTGAACTTTTCACCTCGCCGCTGTCGACACACGGAGAGACTGTTCAAAACGTGATCCGCTGACGTGCTTCACCGCAACCCTCGTCTGAACACTCTCTGGTCCTCTTATATTCATAGGATTGCTAGCTCACAGATGCACACACACATAAATGAATAATAAAAAGTTTTTTTGCCAATCACGAGACACAAAAAATAAAGCTGTTTGGACACAGAGGATTTATGAGGTGAGATGGGGCATCCTAGTGGTACGTACCATGAACCACAACATCCTCAGTTCAAATCCAACAAGGGATCTTTGTCATTCTGCTATAATTTTCTGCTGTATTCTCATATGGGCTGATTTGGACATTATCCAATTAGTTTTTTAACCAGGACAAAGGTTGGCAGGACAGTTAATGTCCTTAGCAGTTGACTTGGGTATCTGTATTCTCACATTCAGCCCCTCCAGATAATGTCAGCAGATTATGCAGAGTTCAGTGCATGTTTGAAAGCAGCTCTAGAATTACATAAATCTGAGAATATCTGAAAACCTAACGTTTGAGGGGCTGGAATCAGTAAATGCTCGGCTTACTTAGAACACAAGAGAAGTTAATGATCAATTCGTCACTTAATTGATGGATCAGAATAGGACTGTGTAGACAAATGTTCAACCTTTCTGCAGCAGCTCTGTGTCTCCTTTCTCCACCAGAGCGACGAGGATGTCGTGAATGCGAGGCAGCTGATTGTAGCGCTTCTGAAAGTCCAGCGTTGCCTCCAGAGCTCCGGACAGGTCCTTACTGCAGGTGTGTACACACACACACACACACACACAAAAGAGAGGGAGAGAGGGAGAACAGAGAGCGAGTTAGATGTCAGGTCTGTGCAATCAGTCATGTACGGGATTGTGTCAGGAGAGAATAGAGAGTGTATCATGGGTGTTAACCTTGTGACCTCCTATTCAAGGACTACGACCCACTGCAACAATACAGGCCTTTGAATTCATGACAGCTCAACTGTGGGTGATGAGGCCTTTTGGCCCCAATACATCATTCTCACACAATCAGGCGCACCTGTCTGCGAGAGGCTAATGTCTCTCTGGACAGGCTTTTAGAGGGGAAGACATGCAAACGATAAAAGGACTCGACTGATCTTTACCCTCAGCTCCCTTCGCGTCTCCCAACTTCTCTGATGCTCTTTCTCTTCTTTTGTCCTCTCAGACTCCCTTTAACCCTCATTTCCTCTTCTTCTCATTTCCCCGTTCCTCCTAATCTCCTCCTTCCTTTCTTTCTTCTCCTTCTCGCCTCCACATCTTGCTTTGTGATTCCATGCTGTCAGCTTTCACTCCCCTCCGACGACCTTGCCCCCCAGCTGAGCAATTTAGCAGAAATATGGCAACAACATTAGGACCCCCCCCTACCACCACCAGCTTGTCTCATGTCATGCTTCTCTTGCTCAGTCTACCCCCCCCCCCAATCCACACACGGTCCATCCCTTGCGGGCGGATGAACAAACAAAACAGCCCGTGGTGAGAGGATGAGTGCACTTGATGGAGTGATAACGAGAGGAGTGGAGATACGGAGATGGGGGAAAGAAGCAAAAGAACATGAAGCTGCG